AAGTGAGGGGGCAAGGAAAGTGTCCTATATCCTGTGAGTTGAACTGTTTTTTTAGTGAGCTGCTGCCTCTGGACTATGAACTCACAAGTGTTTCTCAGATTTTTCTCCCCACTGGGATGTATTGGGCTGGAGTTGGGTATTCCTTTCACCAGGTCAGTTAGGCTCTGATAATTAATATCTGAGCAAGTTAGGCTTTTATTTACTTATTAACTGGTTTCCCCCTGAGGGCAGGTCTTAATAAGAACAGAATACTCTGGTTTGTTTCAAAATGGTTCCTTGGTCCTCCGCCTGTCGGAAGGCTGAGGGAATTTTTCCGAGATATTTACTATTGGTACCCGGTTTAACTCCTGGAAGTTAAACTCACACTGTTGTAGGACTCCTCCTCAGCTTGATTAGGTGTTGTAACTCCAGGGAAAAATCCCGGGGCAAAATACCTTTGAAACTGAAATCAGTCAAAGGGAGAAATAAAGTGGAAGGAACCCATTTATTTCTTAGAAGCAGTCCACTTCTGCTCTCCTGTGTCTCTCACCACCAGGCTGCAGAAGAAGGGGCCCCCACCCAAGCTCTCAGGTACAGATAAGCCCTCCCTTGCCCTTGTAATTACCTATTGATATGGAGATAGACTAGTTCTCTCCACCCCTTGGAAACACCTATTGCGTGAAGATGCACTAAAACCAGGTGAGAGATTCTGAAAATACTGCAATTTTACCCACAGGTGTCCTGGAGTTTTTAACCCTCAGGCTTGCCCACATGGAGCCTCCAACTCTTCATCAATTCCAATCCAGGTTTTCACACCCTGGGACTGGCTCCTGCAGCAGTTTTCCATGTCTCTGCTCCAGGAAGTCATGACTGCCTTTATTCACCTATCTGTGTCTCCAGTAGTGGGGGCAGCAGAGGTTTGCCCTGTGTCTTCCCTTGTCTTATGAATCCAGGGACAGTTGTTGAATTTGTTCAGATTTTCCTTTGTTAGGATAGAGTGGCAACTTCCAACCTCCTTACTTGCAGAACCAGCCCAACATACGCTTTTCCTTGTAACCTCAATACCCAATGGCAGACATTCTTGGGGTACCTGCTCAGCCCATGACCCCACCTTGGAGGAAAATGCACCCTGCCACTAAGAGGAAGACTCAAGGGACATTTTTATTATGTGACCCCAGGCTCTGGCTGCAGCTGATTGGACCAGAGGTAGACACTTGACACAAGGTGAGCCAATCATTTTTTCTTTCTTAGAAACTTGGCTTGAGACAGAGACACTAGTGAATTGGACGATAATGCTAGAACCAAGAAGGGTGTGTTCTTACATAAGCTATCTTCTGCAATGGCTACTGGGTTTCATGAGATCACCTTGAATCCTTCCCCAAAATTCCCTCCTGATTTAGATAGAATGAGTGGGTTTCTGTTATTTACAATGAAAATGGCCTTGATTACAATAGGTAGTACAATTAACATTTTACAAATGAAGAAACTGAGATTCAGAGAGGTTAAAAACACCTTCCCCATACTCACTCTTGGGCAGGACTGCTATTGGCGGGAGTAACAAATAAGCCCCAAATCCAGGAGCTTAGTACAGTAAATGTTTATTTCTCCCTCCCCTACCAGTCTGGGGTAGACAAGCTGGCGGCCCAGGCACACACTCCCATCATGCGGTATTGTCTTGGAAATGCACAGCTTCTAGGGCTGGGTGGAAGGGAAGAATGAGGGTGAAGCACCATGTACTGGGTTTCACTTGGAAGCAGTGCACCTCATTCCCACCCGCATCCCATTGGCCAAACCCAGTCACACAGTCCTACTAAATGCAAAGGGAGCTAGGAAATGTCGGTTTCCTGTGAATCCAGGAAGAATGAGTGGTGAGCATCTAGCTGATCTCTCCTGGCTCACACAGCTGGTGAGTGGCAGAGGCAGGACTTGACCTCAGGTTAACCTGACCCGAGCACAGGGCACGTCAGAGTCAGTCTCTGTGCCATGCTACATCCTCGGCAGCCTGCCAGTATTCCCAGCAGGCAGAGGTGTGAGGCCCCATACTCACCACCATCCTTCTCTGCTCTGCCACACCTCAGCCTGTGAAAGACCAGGGAAGAGCTGCACCTGAGCAGCAGCTATTCAGACCTTCAGAGAAATGGGAAGTTGGTTTTCAGTGACAGGGCAGGGCCGCTGTGAATTTAATCCTTCAGATCCCTAGGACTGTGCCATCAGCAGCCTCTGCATGTCTTAAGCTCCTGTTTGAGGGAAATGGCCATGTGAAGGAAGACTCTCTGGGCTCTGCTGCACGAGGAGCCTTGAATTATACCCCTTGGGGCACATGGTTAGAAAACACAACCAAGGGCTTTGTCTCCTGGGCAGCGGCAGTAAGTTCCCTCAGACCCGGGGCCTAAAACAGCCACAGTTCATTCTCTCACAGTCCTGGAGGCCTGAAGTTGGAAATCAAGGAGCCGGCAGGGCCGCGTCCCCCACAGGATCTCAGGAGGAACCCTTCCTTGGCTCTTCCAGCCTCGGGTGGCTGTCGGCAGTCCTTGGGTTCCAGGCCACATCACTCCAGTCACCGCCTCTGTCTGCACACTGCCTTCTCCACACGGTCTCTTAGAAGAACAATAATCACTGGATTTAGGGCCCACCTGGGGAGTCTGGGATTATCTCAAAGTCCTTAATTAAATTACATCTGCAAAGACCCTTTTTCTAAGTAAGGTCAAATCACAGGTTCCCGAGATTCAGATGAGGACATGTCTTCTTGGGGCCACCATTCAACCCACTATAGGTATCTTGAAATTATTCTCAAGTCGGAAGTTGAGAACCAAGCCATCGTCATTCTGGGGACTTTGAGAACCAAAGACATTCACATGGAACTTCTATCCCCATCCTGGTCACAGGGAGTCCCTTCAAATGCCCAGCAGCATAGCACATGGCAAAGCCAGGGCACATAGGTGCTTTGAGTCAAACTGGAAGGATCCTCTCTTCACTTCTGGCAAAGGACACAGAGTAGCATGTATGCCGTTACAAACTCTTTTACTGATTTGCTTTAAAATACTTAGAATTTAGGTTTACCTTAGACAGTGAGGGGTATGAACCAAGTCAGACCTGTAGGTGTGAATGGGGAGACATGGGGGCCTCTTCCCAAATCCCACCAATGCTGTCACCAAGGAACCTAATGGAAAATCCCTAGAAGTCAAATACTTGAGTGATTCGAGGGAGAGCACGATCCTTTCCACAGGGAACATCACGTGCTCTGACCGGGAGTGGAAGGAGCTCCCAAATTAGGTAAGTGTGACGTTGTGGAGGCTGAGAAACAGCTGAGAAACAGCAAACCTGAGTCCCTGCCAAGTCAGAGTTCTCCTCTGTCCACAATGTTTGGGGAATACCATCCCTTCACCCTCATTGATGAAGCACGTCTCAGGGTTTCTGAGGTCAAATCCAACTCTGACATTCCAAGAATCCTCACAGAGAATTACTTATTTGTGCTGCTCTTTCTCTGGGCCTGTGTCTGTCTTCCTTTCTCAGAGAGGGAGGGAAAGACTGGATGCGTCCATGGTAGGACACAAAGCATCTGCTGGAAACGCCCAGTCAAGAAAACCAACAGCTCCTTCAAAAGATGCCACACAGAACATACACACAAAAGCAGAGGAAAGGGATCTTTTTGTGATTCTGCTTGGTTTCCTCAGTGCCCTGGGCTGGGGAGTATCACTTCCTACCCAGCTGCCCAAATACTAGCAAATGGCTCCTAGACCACCACCTCCCCTCAGTACTTGGAGAACCAGAAGTTACCAGAACTGAGTTACAAGGAGGTTAATACTGAAAAGGTGCTTTGTGAGTTAGGGGACTTTGCTGAGAGAACTAACCACAGCTGGAGTGGTCCTGGGTCCAGACAGTAGACAAAGCAGTCACAATACTTAAGATCAAACTGTTTCCTGCTGGAACAATGTGGGATTAATGAGGGTTGTTGGCAGAGAAAGGGCAGCATTTACACAGACACCTGTTTCAAGTTCACAAGTAGAAAACATACATCTTATATATATTAAATACTTAAAATATTAACTATTTTAATTAACAAACCTATTTGATTAAATAATAATATTACATATTTATATAGCAAATAATGTATTTATTATATATTTATACAGAAAATTTTAATCTAGATCTCTAAAAGGTCACAGATGTTTCTTACCATTTCATATTGTAAGATAAATTCTAGCCAGAATAAGCAGGCAAAGAGAGGCAACAAAGGGCCAGGTAATTTATTTAAATACCCCCAGGTGACTTCTATGACCTCTGGCAAAAAGGCCATAGAACCTCACCCGGGGGTATTTAAATAAATTACCTGGCCCTTTGTTGTCTCTCTTTGCCTGCTTATTCTGGCTAGAATTTATCTTACACATATAATTTTTTCATGATCTTGGAATTCTAGTCCAGAAAGAATCAGGGTCAGAAACCGTTTATATACAGAGCATAGTGAGAAATACACTTGCTTGAAACAAATTGTATTTCCTTAAATTTTGTTTTATGATAAATCTTTTTCCTTATGGTAACTGGACCTTAGGAATTATTAGGCTTTGTTAGTTCAATAAAGTGTTATGATTTTGTACAAGTCACCGTTGAATAATAACGTACCCTTCATTTTGACTCAGGTGGTTACACCCATGTAGGCCAAGAGGTCCTGGTGGGTACCACCACTAACTTCTCACCTGCCCAGTCCCCAGGCCGGCATCAATAGCCCTGCTCCGGTTGGTTCTACAGACCCAGACCTGAATGGGTAGCACATAGAAGAAACACGTTAACTCCAAGTTTAGTGGCCAGACGGTCTGCATTCACAGCCCAGTTCTGTAGCTCACTGGCTGGAGAGCTTGGGCAGATACTCACCTTTCTGTCCTCCATTCGGTCATCTGTGAAATGGGTTATTCACTGTACCCAAGTTATAAGGTCCTTGTGAAGATCAAATGAGTAATGCTATATGCATTAGCTGTTATAATTATCATTAGCATTATTTGACACAAAACAGCAAAGACTTTTTGTTTTAGAAAAATGAAGAGTATGTTTATTTCTCCTCTATCCACCAGGGCATTATTGAGACAGCATTTTGGTTAGGCAGTGCCAGGCATTACGAAGTATTTGGGGGTGAACGTACCCACATTGTTTATTTCTGCTGTCTAGAACTGATGGTATAATGCATGGTTAAAATGGGTAGTGCTGTAAAGGAAAGGTCCAGATAAAAAGCCATCTTCTCGTGGTGGCAAAGCCAGCTTTTCATTTGGCCGCGTGCTTCTTAGAGATCTCCAGGAACTCCATCACGTCATCCGGGGACCCCAAGATGACTGGCGCCCTCTGGTGGATGTCAGTGGGAACGACGTCCAATATAGCTTCTTTTCCAGTGGTAGCCAAGCCTCCCGCCTTCTCCATGACGTAGGCCATTGGGTTACATTCGTACAGCAGTCTCAGCTGGAAAACAAGAGCCGGGAGCAGCATACTCATACCAGAAGGCATCTCATAGAAAAGGGATCTGTGCCATAGCAAAACTGTGCAGAGCCCATGGGATGACTGATACTCTCCCTTTCCCCCTGTGAGGTTCTAATAGTTTCCCCAAGGCTGTATTGAAGACCAAATGGTTAATTTAACTATTTGGTTAAATTAAGCCATTCATCAAGCCAGAGCCTGCAATAGATTGCCTAATGCAATGTGAGGCAGACCACCTGGGCTCGGGACTGAGTGACACTTTGGCAGAGCTGATGGCTGGCTCCCTTCTCTTTATAGCCCAGAAGCTGAACCTAATGAGCGATTCTGTTTTGGATGGAACTTTGCCTATTCTAAAAGCATTTAAGAAGTCCATGGTAGTGTCTGGCTGCAGACATCTGGAAAGCAGACTGGCTTCTCCAAACAGTATGATATTGTTTGCAACTCTATGCATTCCTTTTATAATTCTCCTAAGGCTTCAGGGTTGGGATTTAGTATATTATACGTCTTGGCATTTACTCTTAAATATTTTTTATTGTATGCATTTTCATGCGGTCTGCCTACTGAGCAGACAGCTTTTTGCAGGTGTTTCCTGATTCTATTTCCATACAGGTGTCATGGCCAGGTTTGCAAAACTGAAAAAAAAAAAAAAGAAACCTCAATATTTGTGGTAAGAAACAATTTTTTGAGGCATTAGAGAAAAATGTTATAAAGTAATTGAATCACATTGGCTAGGGGGCCTACAGTGGTTATGACAAGAGTGGTGTGTTAAGTAAGAATTTTGAGGCATTAGAGAAAAATGTTATAAAGTAATTGAATCACATTGGCTAGGGGGCCTACAGTGGTTATGACAAGAGTGGTGTGTTAAGTAAGAAAGAATGCCCTCAGTGAACCGGACGCCACATGTAAGCAGAGATCTGAACATACCTGAAATATATAGATTTCTAATTGTCTTAAGAGAATTACTGCTTCTATTCATACCCTCACATTAAAAAAAAAAAATGACGATAACCTGTCTATTGGGAAAAACAAAGGGAGTACACTTGGGCAGAGAACACACTGTCACTCTGTGTGAAAGAAAAGTGGGGTGTCCCTTAACCAACATAAGCGAGCACAGCCCACCCCCTAGCTTGCCAGAAAGTTGCAGGCATTTAGACTGATGCAGTCAGTGGTAGCAGCCTACCTGAAAGTTCCATTTTGCCCAGAGATTCTTTCCTTCCCTACAAAGGTATAATTTTCCAAACAGCAAATGCCAGCTCATTCGTTATTTCTACTTTATGCCTTTTGAAAGCAATCAAAGAAAACCTCTATTTGGAACACTTATTTGATTTGCTGCCTTGGTAATGAGGCTGGGCTGTTTTATTTCACTTTATGAATAGAAATCATTCTGTACGAGCCAAACCATGTACCCGCTGGAGGCACTAAGCACCCTTAGTCTCCTGCCCATAACACTATTACTTATCTTTAGTGGAAAGGCTCTCAAGAGACCATTTTTAGCTGATACTGCCTGGCTTTAACTAGCACAACCTTTAATCTAGTAAAGAATATACCACAGACACCCTTAGCACCCTACTCAGCATACAACAGCTATCATAACCTTTCTTTCTTCCTAAGTCAAATCCAGGGCTGCAAATGAAATGCGCTGCTTCTCAACCACCTTTCGGGGAATGTTTACCTTTCCTTTGGGGCTCTTCTTGTTCGCTGGGTACAGAAAGATCCCTCCATAGACCAGGGTGCGGTGGACATCAGCCACCATGGAGCCCACATACCTGGCACCATAGGGTGCTGAGTTATCCTGCAGAATTAAGACCACCAGTAATTAGGGTTGCAGAAAAGAGAGTTCTCTTGTGCCCTGTACACTTACTTGATAAAATGATCACTTAATGACCATTACACTTATTTGACTCAATGATCACTTAACGACCTCTGTGGTGTGCACTTGGGGCCATGCTCAGAAATGTGATGAACTCCCGTCCCAAGGAACAGACAATGGAATAATGGAGACAGTCTCATACACCCAGCTATGGGCCAAATCACCTGCATGGTTGGTTCCAGCTATGGGGTTGGGCAGGCATCACAAAACTGTACCATTTGGCAGGAACTTGCAGGTTGAGGAGGATTTTGCCAAGCTAAGGGGTTGGGCAAGGGTGGGTGGCAACAGCCCAAGCACAGGCCAGGCCACGCAGAGAGGCAGATACCGTCCACCCTGACCCGGGGCGGGGCCGGTACACAGGTGCAGAGCTTTGGGATTGGGAGGGCAATGTAGGGTGAAGTGGAAGGAGACATGATAAAGCTGGAGAGAGGGCTTGGGACCAGCTCTGAGGCCCTGAATGTCAAGTAACAGCATTTGGGCTTCCTCCTCAGAACACAACAGCCTTCAATGGCATTTGCAAGAGTATAACAAAGCTGGATATTCTCACATAAAACCAGTTCTACAAGTAGCTTTTTATTCTCCTTCTATTCAGTAATTTGTAACCTCTTCAGAGATGTACCAAGATGGACACTCTCAGTCTTGAATGAGTGATGGAAATCAGTCAGACCCTGTGGGGCAGGTGCCTAGGTGCAAGAACCCCATTTTGTACCATCTGGGATCAGGGACCCCAGAAGTGAAATGTTTCACTGCCGTGAACTCTTTCATCTGGCTGACTTTATTATCTGGATTTTCTTCTGCCAAGAACAGGTGGCAAAGGCTGAAACAGACTCTCAGGCTCTGATGTTTGGGGGCGGGAGTTCCAGTCCCGGGTACCTAGGGGGCAACTCAGTCACGAGGCCAAACCTCCACCTCCAGGGTAAATCATGAGCCACTGGGTCTCTGCATAAGTCAGGGGCCCACCCCCAGGAGCCCCTACTTACTGGGGGGAACTTCTTCTTCTGGACGTACTCAGTGACTGCAGGGTCTAATTCCTTGGTGTAGCCCTCATTGAGGCTGTAGATGCTCCCTTTCTTTTTGATCTTCACATTTCTGTCCACCAAAATGAACTCTCCAATGGCCTGGGAAGCAGGAAGAAGGGCAGAGGTGAACAGCCAGCTACCTCCTCCTGGCCGGGATGGGGCCTGTGTGAGGGCGGGACCGGGAAGGCTCTGGGTGCTTCTCCCGGCCCTGGGGCACTGGAGGCTCCAGCCACTTCTCCGAGAACTGTGGACTGTGCATAAGAGGCTGGGATGGCGACAGCAGAGGATAAACATGACTTCCGACTTTGCTTTTAAGTGGTTTCAGTAAAACCAGAAAGAAGCCACATAGATACAGGGAGGGCAGAAATATGTAAAGAGCACCAAACCTGATGGAGAGTAAGACGTGTGTGTCCAAAGCAACATAAGATGTACACACCTTTGGAAAAACCCACTGGTGCAGACAGAGCTGGGACACCAGGAGAGGCGGCGGCTGAGCCCAGCTCTGCGTGCCTGCCTTGACGATGGTTTCCCTCCCATGTGTTGCCACAGAGAAGAGCAGAAGCCCGAGCTTTGATTCACCACATGTGTAACTTCAGGGGCCTTTGCTTACTTATCTGCCAAGTGTTTCCCACAACCTGTCCTCCCAAGTCCCAGGGCTGAGCTGATGTTCGTGGGCTTAGGTTCTTCAGAGGACACTGGATTTGAGAGAATAACTGAGGATTGTCTGAGGCTCCTTTGTGCTGTTGCTGAGCAGGGTTGAGGCTCTGCCCACGTGGGCAAGGTGTTGCCCCAGAAGGCAAGAGTTAAGGAGAAGGCAGACACAACAGCCCCTCCCCAGCCTTGCATTTATAGCAAAGATGGACTCCTGCAGACAGGGATGTGTCTGACCTGGAGGAAGGGAGGGAGAGAAGAGGAGGAGGAAGAGAAAGAGAAAGGGAATGAGGAAGGCAAAGGGAAGAGAGAGGAGAGACTAGAATTAACAGTGCTCATTGAAAGGTATCATTGTGAGCAATTTTTTTTCTTCTATGCTTTTTTTTTTTTGCATTTCCAAAAATTTTGACCACACATATGTAGAAATATTCTTCTATAATCAGGAAATTAACTAATTGGATAAACACCTTTACAAAAAGTCTAGAAAACGAAGCCATTAAACAACACAGGCTGCAAAGCTCATGCAGCCATGCTTCACAGATGCCCCGCCTGGTACCCAGCCAGAGCATCCCAGGCACAAAGAAGGCAAGTCTCCTGTCTGTGGAGACAAGACACTGGAAAGCTTTTTGGAAGTTAAAGCCTGCTAGAAATGCAAACAAGCTGTCTCCATCTTTGTAGCAGGAACCATCAGCCTGTCCTTGCTGTGAGCCTAATTGAAGAGCATGCTCAGCTGGTCACAGGCTCACCCGGCAGGCATGTGGGCGCAGAGGGTTAATGAGGTGGACGCAGGCAGCCAGCAGGGAATGTTATAGGGAGCCTGCAAGGCTCCGAACAGAGGGGCTGTTAGGGCTGAGGAGGCAAGACTAAAATACACACAAACTTACTCCCGGAGACACAGGTCTGCAATCTGGAAACAAGAAGATATTTAATTTTTTTCTATACATCCTTTAGCTTAAAGGTTGAGCAGAGAAATCAGCAGGAGTGGCAAATGTAGTAGAAATCTGCAAACAGCAGTGATTTTGGAAAGCTTGCCCTGGCTCAGAGTGGACTTTGCTCTGGTTCTGCCGTTCATTTTCCCCTGAGCTTTGCCTCATTTGGAGGCTTGAGCTAGCCCTCGTTCATTTATTAAGCACCAGTACTTCCAGGGAGGCAAAGTCCAGTTGTGTGAGAGATTAGGAAATGAAGGCAGGCCACATTCTTGTTGTCATGACCTGCAGCTCACACAAACCTGGGACCTCGCCATGAGCAGCCTGTCTGCACAGGATCCCAGTGGCTGTTTGCACCTTGTGTCCACTTGTCAGCAAAAAGCACTATGTAAAGTTTCACTGATGTCTTACAAGGCATTTCTAAACCTAAAAGGTATTTATAAACCCAGCTCTTTGCCCCTTGCAACACTGGCTCAAATGGATAATGAACATGTGGACCTGTTGAAGATGATTCTATGGAGTCTATCTATTAAATATTTGAGCCAAATATTTAAAGAGATTTCTTTTCCCAATTTACCTGCTCTGTTGAAACTGTCATCTAATTGAATATATAAATCACTCCAATAAATAGACATGTGGAAGAAGTTGTCCATGAATTAAAACTGTTCACAAGTGCTTTTCATGGCACCTCAGGCTCCTCTCCATGAGGCAGCTTTTCTCTATAAGGTGGACTAAGGAATTATTCTTCATGTCCTCCTTTGTTTTCACTTCCTTGAGGCCATCAAAGCCTTCTCAAAACTGCAAGTATTCACCATGGTTCTGCGTGCATGTGCACAGCATCAAATCAACTTTGTGAGAAAGCAACACAGTCCACTGCTTCAGGAGGGACACCCACCCACCTCGGGAAAGGGAGCTAGTAATGGATACAGTGGGTGGCAGACAGACCATCTACAGGCCCCATCTGGTCCATACATGTGTCTCTCTTGACTAGCACAGTGTTTTACATTATGCATTTTCAAACTCCAGTATTTCGTGAAACACTGGAAGCCTTGGCAAGACTGAGCCCCTCTTCCCAAACAGTAACAATTGCTGGACCTCTTGGGTTCACTATAGTCCCCCCCGACTTCCCTGACCTTCCCAGCTCAGCTCATTCACTGATTTAGATGGCCTGTCTGGCCTCAGTGGGTATTTGAATCAGTGGAGTAATGTCCATTCCAAGAAATTAAGCATGGAACAAATACCATTTCTCACTGTGTTCTGGACAAATATCATTTCTCATTTTGATCATCTTCTCATGACATGGACATTGTCCCTCCATTTCCGTCACCCCATCGTCTCTGTCCCTCCATGGGCCTCATGGCCCACTTCTACATGCCCCTCATGCACACACCCAGACACGCACAGCACCGACACTCCCAGGGGGTCTCTCACCGGGTCCAGCATGAAGCAGTTGACGCCACTCGCCATGGCCAGGACCAGCATGGTGGCACTGCCATAGAGCGCATAGCCAGCAGCCACCAGGTTCTGGCCTGGCTGCAAAGCATCCTTTTCAGAAGGCTCATCAGTTGAATTCTAGGACAAGAAAAAAAACATGTTTTTGTTTTGTGGTTCTTTTTTCCAGTTCAACCATTACCAAGATGCATTATCAAGGTGCTCTCCTAATGAAACAGGGCCTCGTCCCCGAGGGGCCTTCCTCCACACATCAGTAATATCCTGATTCTATCACCACAGCAGTCTTCCCACCATACCCCAGACTTCCTGCATCTGCATCCTTCTTTCCAATCAGGGTCCTTCTCCAATTTTACTAATCTGATATTCTCTCATTTCTCCATTATCACTTTCAAAAAACAGCATGCTTTCTTGCCAGCATCCACTAATTTAATCTTATTGCAGGCAGCCATGTCTTTCACCTGCCGACTCCATCTTTATTTAAGCAAATTAAGACTGAAGGGCTGTGAGTCTGGCGAGGAAATGAGTTTCCGCAGCCCTTGCCCCCGAGAGCAGTGTGGTCCATATTACTCACACATCCAACATTTTCTCAGAAATATTTAGCCCAGCTCTCCAGAGTCATTATAGGATTTCAATTTTTTGGACCAGGACCCACAGTAAAAAATGTATTTTACATCACAAACCAGTACCCGCACACATATGCACACACAACCACAGAGATTTAATGAAACAAGACTTAGACTATGACATGCCCTCCAACCTTGTCTATTTTTGTCATTAAGAACATAACCCACTGCATAGTGCGACCCACAGTTTGTCAATACTAGAGCACAATCTCCAGGGCATGGCTCCTAATCAGTGACTGCTAACTGGTTAATTATCTTCTTTACTAGCATTTGATTGGCTCCTTCAGTCCTCAAGATAGCCCCAGACAAATATTTCAGCTTGAATAATCTCTCCTTGAATTTAAACAGAAACAAGAATGGGCAATATCTACCAATGTCATTTATTCTTTCCCCAACCAGAGATTCCAGAAGGGCATCGCTATCATGATACTGGAGATGGAGGGCACCCCAGCAAAAGTGTCCCAAGTAACTTATTCCTGTAACGTTTGAAAGCACGGTCCAGAGATCATTTGCATCAGAACCACTTGGGACATGTTTAAAAATGCATATTCTGGGGCTGCGGTCTGGACTTACTAAGGTGGATCCTGGGAATCCATTTTACCACGCATGACGGAACTGACTCTTGCACTGATGTTTAAGAACTACTCACATAAAAGGAAGAGGCATGAAAACCGTTTCTCATTTTCCCTCTTATCCTTATGCTTCATAAATGGTTTTCATCTAGATGGTTGGGTGTGGGGTCAAGTTATTTGATTTAGTTTGGTTTTAAGTCACAGGGCAGAGCAGTGCAGCTCCACGTGGACTATACACAGCACCACAAAGTCGAGCTGTCTTCCCCAACTCCAAATCTTGCCTGTGTACAACCCTGTAAAAGGAAACAGCTTCCTTCAAAGCCAGTGACATAGTAGTTAGACTGTGACCCTAACTATCCTCCAGCAAATACCTGCTTAATTTAACCCTCCCAGTAGAGCACAAAACCAGACAAAGGCATTCTCTAAGCAAGTGAGCTGACTGGAAGCCAGTAGAGGCTTGAGGTAATCAGTTCTTCACGAAGAAAAGTCCCCTGGAGATTCACCTCACCCAGAAGCACCCATGCCTGCCTGTGGTAAGGGTTCAATAGTAAACAGCCCTTCCCTGAAATGCTGTCAATAAATAATCTTACCCCTGGGCTTCCAAGAAATAAGAAATGGTAACATTGTCTATGATCCACACACTCAAAAGAGAAAATGAATGCCACTGAATTACAGATTTGGAGGAATTCTTCTCTAGCCTGACCTCTCGAATGCATGAATTCCATTCCTGCACACCCCCAGCAGTATATGCCTTTGCTCCACGGGGTCCATTACATTCCCAGGCAGATGCCCTCTGAGCCCCACCTATCTCTGCCAGTCCTAGGCCACCACCTGCTGCAGGTATTGGACTCCAACCCATAAGGAGTCCAGGGGCAGACACCATAGATGCCCGAGACCCGAGGTGGTGGAGGAGGAGGTCGGGCAGAAGTGGGTGGGGCTGTCTTGTCACTCGATAGTCTTCCCTCAGAGGGGAGGCCAAACCCTCCTTAGAGGGTCTAACAGGGCATTTGGCAGAGTCGCTGTAATTCAGTGTTGTTCACTTACAATTGTACCAGGCAACTAGCAGACGAACAGATACGTAAGCTGAGGTTGGTCCCTGCCCTCAGCATGAACACTGATGGGTTTTGCATGGCCAGCATCCATCACACTTCCGCTGACAACGGCACCTTTACCTCCCGCACGACACTGCCTCCCTTGAGCTCAGCTCAAGTTCTACCTGGCGAACCAGACCACTGCAAGCCTCAGGCCACAGGGATTGGTTGAGGGGTGGGCACGTGACCTAAGCAAAGTCAATCAGAGCCAATGAGATGATATTCTTGGAATTGTTGGAAGAGAAGCTTGCAGTTTTCGATTGGGTTACTGAGAGGATTAAATGTGAGCCCAAGCTTGCTGGGAGCCGTTTGGTCACCAAGGGGGAGGGATGCAGTGTTGATGGAGAGGACGTGTGTCCTGATTGCACAGTCTGAGCCTCTGAATGCAGTGGCCCCTGAAGCCAGTCAACTCAACTGGCTTTCTAGTTCCTTAAGCCAATAAGGCTCTTTTTCCTGCCTTCCTCCCTTCCTTTTTTCCTTCTACTAAGTTAGTTTGAATTGTGACACTACCCATTGAATCTTAATATGCAAGACAAATAATAGTAATAGCCAACATTTATTGAACACTTTTTATGTGCCAGCCCGTTTTCAGTGCACTGTACTTAATTTTCAGTACTTCCATTTTACAGATAAGAAAACAAAGCACAGAAAGGTTACCTTGCCTAAGGTCCCACAGAGATAGCAGGTGTCTGTATCAGGAAGCTACATTCCATAAGGATATTAAGATGTCTCCCCATGCTCGGTTAAGGGAAGTGAATTGGATTCTGAGGCTGCAAGAGTGCTTCTGAAACTCTGCTTTTAGTTGTGGGGACTGGATATTTTTAAAGGATGTTGTAAATTAGAATGTGTCCGGTGGGGGTGACCAAGTAGAAAGGAGTCTAAAAATCACGTCATATGAAAGATGTTTAAAGATTATTTTTTTAAAGGAAGGGGGAGGGGAGGAACGCTGTTAACAAACAAGTAAAAAAGTCTTGTTTTCTGATGCTCTAAGAAGCAAAATGAGCAACAGGGAAACAGATTTGACTCAATTTTAGACCACGATGGTCACTCAGTACCTCAGGAGAGTTCCACCCCTCCCCATGTCTCCAGCCAGGAGGTGCTGGGCAGGACCTGCCTGGAACACTGAGCCATGCACCCTTCGAGGTCCCACCACAGCCTGTTTCCAGGCATGCATGACATGAGCCAGACCTGATCAGTTGCCAGGTTCCAGTTACCGATGCTGTACCCCCAGGAACTGAATTCTAGCCCAGAGCCACTTCTGCAGAGCAGGCAATGGCTCAGACACATTGCTGTTTATGCCCCAAAACCCTCAAATGGCTTCAAACAATCAGTAAAATATTTGAAAATTGAAATGATTTAAAGGTGGGTGTCACACTCACCCTTTTTTTCCCATCTTTTCAGAGTCACTTGAGGTTTACTGAGAAGAGCTTGGAGACTCTGTAGAGCTGTTCTAGTATTTGTAATCAAGCTGCTATTGCAAGGTGCTATAATTTAGTTGGTAGCCAATGTCTCTCAGTTTTCTAGGTTTTTTTTTCCCCCTTAAAAGGAACTTTATTTGAGGTTGAGTTGGAGCCTGGGGCTGGCAAACATCAACACTGCTTTAGTCTTGCTGGAGTCATTAGCCAAGCGGCGGCTTCCTTCATATGAAGAATTCTGCTACAAATATCTTGCTATACTATAGATGTCCTACTCTGTAGGTAAACTGCCTCCTCCGCGTCTGTCACAGGAATGGAAGAGAGGGCTGTCGTCCTTGCCTTTCTGGCTGGGGTACCAGAGCCTTCGGCTACTCACACTGCCTTGGACCTGCCTCTCAGCCAAGGCAGCAGAATACATGCCAGTGGCGAACGAGAAGTGTCCCATGGTGGCCCTACGCTCCACACATTTGAGAGGAGATTAAGTACAATGCTAGGCAGCAAGTCACTTTGAAAAATAAAGTACAAATTGTGGCCAGCTGTTAAGTTACGACCTCTGTACGCTGCAACGTGAGAGTTGAAGGAACTCAGTCAGCTGAACAAGCTGCCTCACCCAGGAAGACGAAGAAGCGGGCTGAACAGCAAATGTGAGGTTTTATTTCCGAAATAAACAAGAGCTGAAGCCAAGAGGATGTATTTTAGATTTCATAATGTTTGATGATAGGCCCATGGGCATTCATTCTGGTTTTCACCTGAGTGTTCTTCCACTACTCCCACACACTCACGCTCTGGGAAGGGAAGGGAGGCTCTGGAGGTAGAGGGACCAGCCCAGGTCACACAGGCAGAAGACCCAGGGCAGGAGTCCTGATCCCCACGCTGTGACAGTGTGCAGCAAACTCTTCCCACAAATGGACGGAGGGCAAGCATTCTAAGCTTTACCATCACACGGTCTCTGTCACAGCTACTGAACCCTGCTGGAGCAGCTCAATATCAGCCAAAGGCAGTATGTACAAAGTGACCTGACCATACACTGTTAGAACTTTATTTACAGATAGTGAAAATTAAATTGCATATAAATGTCCTGGGTCATGAAATATTATTCTCTGGATATTTTTTTAGCTGTTTAAAAATGCAAAAAGGCTATTCTTTGCTCACAGGCTGTACCAATCAGGCAATAGGCTGCATTTGGCCCCCCAGGGGTTCATAGTTTGCAAGCTCCTGATTTGGAGGACTTACAGGACAGCTCTGATATAAATAATCTCTACTGTCATACTTCACAATTCTCAGTTCACAGTATTGTAACTGTAACTGACCTACACTGTCCTTTATTTTTAATCTCATTTTCCATCACAGATGCAAGGTAAGTTAGAAGAGTGAAATACCTTTCTCTTGACACCCATGTTCTATTATATTTTCTTTTAAACAACTCAATGAATCATCATTATGCAATTAAGGCTGGAAAAGTCAGAATGTGAAATACAAATCTATTCAAACCTCAGAGTTTCATGACACACAAACTGGCTGCTCCATCAATAGTGAAACAGGACTGGTCACTCAACCTTAACTTTCCCTTTGATCCCAAGCCGGGGGCTTGACATATCACATTTTACCTTTCTGTAGATGCCAAAAATGGTTCCAATGGACACAAGGCAGTCAATGTTGGAAGATCCATCAAGGGGATCAAAACAGACCACATATTTACCCTGAGCAAAGAAAATGAAAAGACTTTACTTTTGAAATCAACATGTTATAACAAAACAGAGAATATACACTAAAGGGCTAAAAAGGGAACCTAGGGGCAAGTTGTGTCTTATTTACATATACTGTGTCATGGAAGGTATGAGGCGGCATGCAGAATGAAAATAACAATGACCACAAAATACATATGCCAAAAGATGACTAGGCAGAGAAAATACAACTTAGAATATGAGGTGTAGATGAAGATGGTGGAATACAGATGGCATAAGCATAACTGCCTACATCACTGAGGTAGCTGAAGCATAATTTGAAGCATAATTTTGGTTGAGTCTCCTGAGAGCCAAAGCAAAAAAGAAACAAGGTTAGTCACTTATTTATTTTTATTTATAAGGGAAAAAAATAACAATTCCTTGGCTGAAGCAGAGACAACATTAAGATCAGTAAGAAACTTCTCATGCAGATCTTAGAATGACACTTGAAGCAGAGGGGCACGGAGCTCTCAACAATACCCCACAGGACTTCCCAGAGAAGCGACCTGCTGATGTAGTGAGATGACCCAAATCCCATTCTTTGCACACGATTTTCAGTGGTGTGCTGGGGCTGGCTGGTATCAGCTCTCAGGGGCTAATGGCACACATCCCTTCCCAGCTCTGCTTTCAGTGATGTGGGGTTGCTAGCGTGAGATCAACTACAGGAGAGATTTATACACCCGAAGCTGGCGAGTGCTACAAATTCTGGATTGTTTTCAGAGGCAGTCTACCAGTACACCACTGGAGATTCTCCATATCCAAATTTACCACTTCAGATGTGGTTTTTAAATGTTCTGCACCAAATTAAGACATTTCTTTGATTCTCTGACCTTTTGCTCTTAACAAATCACCCTGGCTGATACAGGAGAAACTGTCATCTGGAAAACAGGAACATGCCTCACAGAGGCAAGACTGGAGCTCAAGAAGTCTGGGGTGACTGACAGAAAATATTAAATAACAAATTCAATCCACATGCCTAAAACTGCCAAGTACCATGAGAAGCCCAGCAGAGAAAAATATGAATTTGACTCTGACAGCCATAGTCTTTTAGGAATGATGTAAGACAAGTTAATGGGATGTGGTTCCCCACCCCTCTTATAAAGGTCAGGATTGATACCAGGCAGCCTCTTTAAATTCTTCTGGTGGCTTTTTTCTGTTTCCACACCTCCCTGTCCCCAGATCATCTCAAACAGGGAAAGAAAACAAGCCTACACAGCTGCACTTCACATCTCCAAAGGTTTTGTTATTATCACATGATTGTTGTTTTATAAAAGCTGGGTATACTCTTTCACTCACTTCTTCAAATTCATTGTTAAGCCCCTACAATGTGCCATGTACTGTGCTAGAGGCTGGGACACAGAAAAGAATATGTGTCGTTTTCTGCCCTCAAAGAGCAGTCAAATTAATGGGATGCCAAGGGATTCCGAGGCATAAATCAGTGACAGGAAATGTGAGCAGCTTAGATTGGCGGTAGGGTTGCCTGTGAAGGTTGTGAATTTGGTGGGTGGAGATGAGGCAAAAGAAGTCATTAATGGAAGCCAGACTTTGAAGAGTCCTGAACATGACAGTACAAAGCAAAGTTAGGGTGGAGATGAATGTAAGTATGTAGAATCTCTCCAATGCATGAGGACAAGGGAGAGATGATAATGGCATGAACTGCAGGGTTGTGTGGACAGTGGAGGATAGACTGGAGATACACGGTGAGGGAGAATCTGCGCAATGATGACTGATGGTCCTGGAAGGATCTAGAATGATTCCTAGGAACCCAGCTTGGCTGAACAAGTGGAGCCATTGATGAAGTTAGGAGGGAAAATGGCTACATTAAAACTCTAAGCAGCAGAAGTGCAGACTCACCCTTTTCTCAGGTTCTACTATTATGGCATGTTTATTTTCTTCTGACACAAGAACACAGGTAGCGAAGGAAGACTTTAACATGTTAATCACCAGGTCGTTGGAGAGGACATCCAGCTTCTTCACCTGATCACCAGTCACATTGGTAGAGCCTGCAATTCCATAGCTGAGGGAAGAAAGACCATAAAAAATAAGCCATGACCTCCAGAATATGTCGAGGCATCTGGAAACCCCCCTGAAAGAAGGTGCTTAATAGGATTTCGAAAAAAGGAAAGACACACAGTTCCAGAGACATGGAACAAGAAGAATGCTCATCCCTCTGGACTGGCTCCTGGACACAATACTGTCACTCACCTGTCCAGTACCAGTCATGGCCCCCAGCACACCTTTGTGATTAAATCTGTGTTTCTCAACCTTTTTTAATGGCCTTTACAGAGCTTCTTTAGCCTTTCTTTCCCCTAATCACACTCTTCTATGAGATTTTAACTTTAATACTACAGATAGAGTGTATATCTGTTTATGCACTATCTGTATATCTGTACTTTATACATAAAAAGATTGATTTGCCACCTCCTCCAAGAACCAGTTTTTACCCCTGAATGCATGGGTCACTGTATGGTGGATCATTTGAGACAGAGCAAATCAAGGAAACCTGGGTAGAAGGGAGCCAGACATGGAAGCTAAGCCAAAGGATACTATGATTTTATAGCTGAAATATTCCTAAAAAGAAAGAAATATTGGCTAGTCCCACCATCTCACTTTATAGAGGAGGAAGCTTGTTCCATGACACAGCCCTAACACCTAAAGTGAGGAAAAAATGTTAATTTTCTTGTTTACTCTCTCAAGGGAGCGCTCATTCAGGGTTTGCACGTGCTGGTGGGGAGGCGTCTCGGAGGGCCCCAGGCTTCATTCACCACCACACTAGTGACACTAGTGTGGTAGGTTATCCCTTACTTCAGGAGGAAGAGGACAGAGGGTGTTTTTCCCCACTGTGTCCCTGCTTCCAGTACACCGTAGGCCCTCAATAAATACCTGATGAATGGCATTCCTTGAGGAAAGCAGAAACCTGAGCCTGAAGGAATGGGTTTAGGAGATGAGCTTCTCTGGTGGCTCTGTGCCACCCCATGCAGGAGGGAGTGGCTGGCATGGTCCCCAGAGGGGCAGCTCCGGGGAGGCCCGGGAGCTGGGGCACATGTGCAAGGGACCCTAGGCAGGCATGGCCCACGTCCCACCTGCTCAGGTGACTCACTCAGCAGGACGGGGGAAGAGTGGCCAGGCCAAGGTCTCCTACTCAGAAGCTTCCTAACGGCCATGCGAGTGTTCACTGATGCTACAGATCATCCCTGGGCACACAGTGTGCCCGGGAACTGAGCGCTCGGATTACAGGGCTCAACAGCACAGAGAAGCCCCCGGCCCTCGTGGCACTCCTATCCTAGTGTGTGAGGCAGCCGAGAAACCAGTAAGTGCTTAGAATGAATCTGGAAATGTCAGGTAGAGACAGGGCTTCTCATACAACTAAACAAGAAGCCTGACAGGGTGGAGGTGGGGTTAAATGGCCAAGGAAAGTCACACCGCAAAGGGCCATTCAAGCTGGATGGTATCTTGAATGTTTTTCACAAGAAAGGGAGGGTATGAAAAAGCCCTAAAGGAGCCCAAATAAGTCTGCCAGTACTGACTCCAAAATATAGCCCAATTTATCCAAAGAAAAAGGGAATTTTTTTTTTCAAGTATTTCCAAATGGGGGGAAGGAGGGCCCGTGCTTATTTATGGAAGTAACTTTTTAAACCTAGAAGTCTTTTTCCCATGACGGGAGAGATCCAGCGAGCTCTGAAATGCAGGCAGAGGGGACCCAGAGGGGAGGCCCTGCAAGGTCAGTCCTGCTGGCCAAGCACAGGCTGGGCTCCCTGTGGCCATGTCCCAAATGCGGTCTCCATCATGTTTGTGGAACTGGACGGCGTAGGGAAGTTCCTGATCACTGGACTGCATTTTCTCAGTGTGTGGCCCCGGCAGGGGGCCAAACAGAAGGGAGAAGCAGCTCCTCCTGCAGGCCCAGGCCGGGCTGGGCTGTCGAGGTTACAGCCAGGGGCAGGGTGGCGGACTTGAGCGGCAGAGACCACCGTCTGGGCTCCCCACTGCTGTTCCAGGGCTCTGAGGTGGCTCCTGCCCCTGGGACTCGGCAGGCAACAGGTGTCGGGTGGCACCACACCACCCACCGCAGGATGAGCACCGTGCTGACAACTGGTCTCTTCTCTGGCTCTGCCTCCCTTTCCTCTTTCCTTTATCCCAGCTGAGCGTCCCTCCTCTGTTCAACCAGAAGGACCCTTCTCCAACTATCCTCGTTAAGCATAAAAAAATCACATGGAGACAGGATATTCTGAGCCCCTCAAACTCCAGATTCAGGCACTGTGTAATCTTTCATGACCTTCTGAGGGAGTGTTTCCCTGGTGAGACCTGGAGGTAAGAAAGTCTGGTACAAATCACAGCAAAGTGATTCTAAGGTAGAAACACGGTTTAGGAGAGTGAGTTCCCAGGCTGCTATGTGGACAGTAATTATACCTGCATCTCCCTCATATCACTCGGTGTTCCCTGCAATGCCTCTTAGCACATGAAGTCAGCCCTGACTCGTGTTTCTCATAGGGTCCTATATTACTCTGCTCAGGAATGACGAGTTGAGCTTCTCCCAGCACAGCACAGACAAGGCCTTGAAGGGTTCAAGGTGTCCCCAGGGGAACATGTTTCCACAGGTCAATGAAAAGCCAGAAGCAGGCATGGCTTCTGCAACTCTGATAATGAAAAAAGTCCTCAGAAATATGTTCCAGGAACCAATTAGCTGAAGAACACATGGAGTTAATTTTCTCCACTAGTTTGCAGAAAGTCCCTTAGCAACAATAAATTTCTGCATTCTGTTAAAAAGAGAGACACAGACCCACTGTGGGGTCCCTTCTGTGGGGCCAAGCCACCACAATGGGGCTTAATACCTAACCTAATTATAGTTTCAACCCTTCCCAGAAATGTAGTCAGTCAGGGTGGATAAGCTAATGTCACAATGCCCTCTCCATCCCCAAAGGGAGGTGAGCTAATCTAAGGATAAGATGAGACCCTTATCTGTACCTTCTCTCACACAAAGAACATCGACATGTCTAGAGCATGATCTTTTAGGACACCACCAAGATGCATCCATGCCACACTGCTTGGTGTATTGATAAAGGTAACCTCTTTTCTGCACATATCCCTCACTCTAGAAAAACTATTTAAGAAGTCTCCAGACAAAGAGGCCCTAGAACAGTTTATCAGAGCACTGACAGGTTGCTCTTGGCCATCGTCCTCAGTGAGACTAGATGTAAACTGTACCTTTCTTAAACATAACAGATGTGATTTCAGTTAACAGTTCTGACCAATCACCATTCCTCAAAGGCCTGAAAGGAAAGTTGAACAAGAGTCTTCACTGTAGACAGATGGCCACATGGAGAAAGCAGTGTAACCTGCCTGTGGAATCCTCAGCAGGAATAGGCCTCGACTGCTGGCAATAAGGTCCACACCTTTGCTTGGCCACTTGAACTGGGGCTTGGAAAATGCATCAACTGTGTGCCCCAGAACAGAGTTCTAGGTTGACTCCAGGAGAGCCCAGCAGAGGCCAGATGCCCAGCCTGGTTGGCAAGGAGCTTCCATACCAGCCGATGTGAAAAGGCACCAGCACCAGCTGCCTCCATGGGACCTGAGCAATGCCTCTCACACACCACCTGGCCCTTTCTCAGAGCTGAGTGTGCCAGCATCAGGCAGCACTGGGGGCTGCAGAGATGTGGGCAAACCATTGTGCAACCTTGTTGGAAAAGCCAACTGTGCCCAATAAACAATGGAGACAGAGACAAGCCAGGAGGGTGAAGGGGTGGGCTGACCTGAAGGGCTGGCTCAGCTCCCTCTCCCGCCCCACCCAGGGAAGGTTTCGGGAGCAGCCGCGCACTGGTCACTCAGGGGCAGGGACATTACTCTGACTGAGCCAGGGACTTGATCTGCTAAGGAAGCTTCTCCCCAGTCCAAGTCACCACAGAGGGAACGGCAACCCAGGGGCTGTTCTCCAAGGACAGGGACTCCAGATCACTGGGGTGCAAACCCAACTCTGCTGCGGGCAAAGCACCCGTGGGCACGTCACTCAGCAACTCTGATCTTTGATTCTTCATAAGGTGGGAATTTTGTGTATTGGCTTCCTAGTATGTAGAGAGGGGGAGCACATGAATTGATATGGGTAAGGAGCTTCAAACAGAGCTGGCACCCGGGCAAGTGAGCAAGAAATGTCACCATGTCATTCCTGAGGCTGATCTCCCCCGGCGGTAACATAGCCACACTGAGAGGCAAGGAGGGTCCTGGCAAGAGCACTGCCCGGGGAGACCTGGCTCCAGGCTCCCCCTGTCCCCCTCACTGGCTGTGTGTCAAGATGTCTCCACTCCCTGACGGACCGTCTCTTTCTCCAGGTTCTGGAAGGATGGGAGCTCACTCAAGTGGTGCATGTGGTTCACAGCAGCCAATGGGGGGCCTTCATTGCTCTTAACAGAGCCCTGTAGGCAGCTGGTAAGTAAACATGGGTGACAAAGGGGAGGGGAAACCAGTTTTGCAACAGCTTGTGGGAAGAGAGCCAGGGCCCAACCTTGTCACAGGTAATTGGCCACAAAACAAAGGCTCCCTGGAGTCTGCTGGAGATACTATTTAATTTGAGATGCTTAGAACATTTCACTTCAATTTTACTCAAATTAGTTGGCATGCAGTCCAAGTAATTCCAGGCGGAAAAGCACCTGTCAGGGGTTAAGCCCCTGTGACTGGTCCCTTTTAAACTCCTAGAAACACTAAAGTTCTCTTTTTGGGGCTTGCGGAACAAGAATCGATTTGAGAAGCTGCTGTCCATAATATGCCTTCTTTTACTTTTACTGTAAATGTCACTGAAAATTTGAAAAGCTGGAAGTCATTTGAGATTTTAATTCATACAATGAGAAACTCCTTAGAAAGATGGGTTACTTTGGCCAGTCTTTCAAAATCCTTAGAAATTTGGATTAAATATTAGCATTGTTTTTCAAATCTGCATATTGTTTCTAGAATGGAATGAGCCATTTCCCAGCCATAAAGTTTGTGATTTGGGATGACCAGGGGTGAGCTGCCTTTACCATTTCTGAAGCACAGCCCTAGACAGGGTCAGAGCCAGAACCACACTTGGGGAAGAGCTCTCCACGGCTTCCTCGATTTGTTAACTAACTTCAGATCATTCTCCCATAGTGTCAACATGACCACGTGAAGCAGGCAACATTTTTAGAGCAACCGGAAGAGCCAAGCGCGGCAGCTTTCAGAACACCCAGCTGAAGAAAGGGGAGGCTGATTGTTCTTTCATCCTTACACTAAAGTTGAAGATAACAATGACCTGTTATTGATTAATTTCAAAGTAAATGTCCAACTGTTCATCTAGCTGGAAACATCCAAGGGTCAGATCAGAAATAAGAGGTGACAAACAGAGCAGCTTTCAAAGGTCACAAACCCCAACTTTGGCCTGTGTTCATGTTGGCCAAAAATAGGCAAACAGAAGGGAACCCAGCTCCATCTCTCTCCAACTCCCTCTCCCTCCAACTGCGCTCTGAAGCCCGGCCTGGTCCCTGCCAAATCCAGTCCTGGTTTTCTTCTCCTCTTCCTCTCTGTCTCAAAGAAGATGTTCCGGAATCCAGTGGGCAAATGTTAAGTCAGCACTTCATGCCTGACGTCCAGAACACTCCCAGCTGGATAGGGTGTCACACCTCAAGTTCAGCATTTCCAAAATGTTGCAGTCATCACCTCACCCACTCATCCCCAGCCTCTGAAGACCAGCTCCTCCTCTGGAATTCTGGTTGGGGTTTGGTCTGTTTCATTTTCTGCTGGCACAGTCCTGCTCCCCGCTGCTAGAGCCCACTCCTTGAGAACCTAACTCACTGCCTTCTCCTCCAACCCACCAATTCCCCAGGCTCTCTGCCACTCCCCTACACCTGTCCAGTTGGTGTTCTCCGCATCTCAGCTTTCCCTCTTCAACTCTATACTTTCAGCCATATTGTCCCTGCATGAATCTCTTATCAAGCCACTGCCCACCTCAGAAACCTGCACTCTCTCCCCTTTGCATAGCCCCTGAATGTATAAAGTATTCACCTTTGCCATTTGGGGGTCTCCCAATGCATCCCCAATTCAACATCCACAAACACCCCACCATATGTGCCCCATGTTCAGTCAAACCAGAGGAGCAGATTTTTGGGAAACATTTTCCCACCTGGTTTCTGTTTGGATCTTTCCTTACCCACCTGCCCAGCAACAAATGCTCTCCAGCCCTCAGGCCTTCTGACCACCTCTGGCTTCCCACTGCAAATGCCCACCCTGATCTCCACCTTGCAGTCTGGCACTTCTATGAAAACATCTTTCAGTATCTCTATCGTGTTTTATAATAACTAGATCTATACATGTCTTACTCTCCCAACAGCAAAAACTATGTGCTATTCTCTCTCAAACTATTACAGAAATTTGTACATTGTGGGTGTTCAATAACATTTTGTTGAACTGAATGGAACAACTCAAGTGAATTCTTCAAGCAGTGATTTAGAAACATGCACAGAAGTCAACTCCACGTGCCTAAAGCTGAAGTCTAAGCTACCAGAGGACCACTTTCTCCTAAAAGAATTAAGATAAAGAAGGTGGGCAAAGAATTCATCAGATCCATGTACAGGCTGCTGACTATTCTCATGAGAGAACAAAAGGCTGGTACCCCTGTCTGGACTGGCATCCCTCCTTCCCTGACCATGGGTGGTAAGCAGCCAGAAGCACAGAGATAAGGCTTCAAGGACAGGTTTGCTAGAGCAATGCTAGAGCAAGAAGTCAATGGCTTCTTGGGATGAAATTCTTTACTCACATTAAAAAATGTCAATAGATGAGATTTAGAGTTGGGTGAGCTTTAATTGTTGTCTAAAACATAAAGAAAAAGATACATGGTATGGTGAAAAGAGCCCCAACCTGGCCTCCCCTTCCCTGGCCTCAGGGTCCTCACCCACACAGACAGGAGTTGGACTATGTGACTTCTGAATCTTTCAGCTTAAAATTCTATGATTCTGTGAACATCTTATAGGAGCAATGGAAGTGGCTACAACTGTAACTCTTGGTTGAGTGAGGGAGACAGAGACAGAGACAGAGGGTTCCAAGCTCTCTGCTTAAACTTCTGATATGTCCCTGCAGAGATGTCAGGTTGAGCTCTATAGACAGGTTTCTGTGAGGCTCCTGTAAACCTGTGATTACCTTGTCCTGCTGGGTACACGCCTTTCTAGGGCAAGTCTTCAGTGAACAAGCTATTTGCAGGTACTCTGGCCTCTTCATCCAGGACATCAAGCTGATAACGGAATGTAATTTGGAGGCCTGCCTTGAGATCTTGTCTTACTGCTGCCTGCCCTACTGAGACAGCCCGACTCTCATTTTCCCTCCAGGAGTACTGCTCCTGCCCTGTCAGCTACCCACACAACTAGGCATCAACTCCTGTCTCACAGGTACAACACTGTTTGAAATACTCCTGGGCAAACCTATGAAAAGCCCAAACATAGGGTAAGAGTTAAATAGTTTCTGATATCTGTGAAGTGACCCACAAAACACAGTTAAAAAGGAAGTGGCTTTGTATGTCCTGATATTAAAAGATGTCCATTATACATTACTGAATGATGAAAGAAAATTGTAGAATGTTAAGTGTGATCCCATTTTGTTTGCTATTTACATATAATCTATGTAAATACATATCCACGTACAAATTCCTTTGTACAGTTCCCACTATCAAAATCCCACCATCTGTGGTTATTTAAAGGGTGCAGAAGATACATCTTAAGGAAGTTTTGTGCTTCTGAGTCTCTTTGGGGATAAGAAAGATACAACACATTTTTAAAATAGTACAAGCAATGACAAGCACTCTTTTTCCAAAAGTTTCCTGGTCTCAAAAGCTGTAAGGACATCTGTACTTGCTGAAAATTAAGTTTAAAGTAAGACTTTAACTGTGTGTTTCTTAACCAAGACTCTTAGAAATACATTATTAACAGGGGCCAAAGGTGAAACAGCAATGGAGCCACCACCTTCTTGACATACTTGTCCCAATTCCCCCTCCCAGTAAGGCCATCCCTGCTCGACATCTGACAACAAAAGTGATCCACACTCCTTCCTTAAGCACTGGCTCCCCCAGCCCATCCTGTGGGACCTAGGCCAAACAGCTTCCAGAAAAGTAATGCAGGCCACAGGGGTTGCACTTTTTCAGATCAGCTATGAGCATCATTTTTGGGGGGCTCCTTCCTAAGTGCAGGAAATGTTAGAAGGCGTGTGGGCAGTCTGAACCCAGGTACCCTTCAGCTAAAGTGAGGACCAAGCTAAATACCAGAGTAAACCAAAGGGTATTTGTGCTATTTACAGAAAGTCTCACAAGTTTCCTTTGAATCCCAAGTCCCATGATTCCTCTGCCACAGGAATGTGATCTGCAGGCCGGCAGCTTGGGCACCCCGGCCATAGAAGAACATGGGAATGCAGAGTCTCAGACCCCACCCCAAAGGTCTTGCACGTGGGCTTTTTTGCTGGAGAGCTCTGGGCACACAGGCTTCCACCCAGCCTGCTGATGGTTGTCCTTGCTCCTAGGAGTAAGACTTATTTAGGGCCAAGGAGATACTGGATTAGAAACCTGACTTGGGACCCCAGTTCACTCCCAAGGGAGTGAAGGAGGTCAAAAAAGAGAAAGGGAAATGTTAGGCAGGAAAATAGATACGAGAGAGAATTAAGGCCAATAAAGTCCATCACAAGGGACTCAAAAAGTTAATCAATTAAAACTAGATACCAGAAAAGACTCAGTTAATGAGTTAATCAATTAAAGCTCAAAAGTCCAGGGGCAACCTACAATGTTTGAATATTCCCCAGATAAGGGAAAGTATCTGAGCACAGCCCGTGTCTTCATTGTGTCAATTAGATCATGCCACTGTAAGATTTACTTTGGCCTGCTAGAAGGCCCAGCTATAAACAGTATAATAAAGACAGGAAAGATTCCACCTTAGAGCTAAACTTGCATTTTAAAACCCAAGAAGTTAAGAAGTATGATTCTTAACATATTCTTTAGCAAACAGACAATAACTCAGCCCAGCTGGGAGACAGGGCATGCAGTCTTGATTGATATGCTCCCAAACCAGGAAGCTGCTATCATGGGAGGGATTCAGAGTAGTAAATTTCTTGTGTTAAGCTAATTTTGCAGAATTACCAGGAGAACTGGTAAAAAACTTAATGTCTCATCTAAGATAAACATCTTGAGACCACTTAACAAGTCCACACCCCCAGCTCTTTGTCACATTACTGAAAAAAATCTTTAAAAGGGGGAACCTCCAACCTTTCAAGAGTTCCTCTCTCTGAGGTCGCTTGCACTTTCTAAGTGTGTAGCCTTAAACTTTCTCTCTCCAACCTTTTAGGGCACCTCTCTTCCCTGAGGTCGTCTGTACTTTTGCTCTCTTTAAATAAATAACTTTAAATAAAACTTTGACTCTGCTTCAATAGTGTGTCTCTGCCCTTCAATTCTTTGCTGGGGTGGGGACAAGAACCGAGGAAAATACACAATGACCCCCTAACATTAAGGAAAAGTGTGGGCACCCGCATGTCCCTGTACGAGGCTGGGCTGGGTCGGCTGGGCAACCAGGTGCTCACCCCCTCGCCCCATCCAGTTTCACCAGCAGGCTGAGGGGGTGGCAACGCAGGCTGCTCAGCTCAGGGGGTTAGGTTTCAGGATGGAGGCAGGTGTGGACGGGCCTCCCGGGCGGGGGGCGGGGGTAAGGCAGCCCCAAGCTCAAGGGAGGACAGAACCAGGGCTTGAGTGCAGGTGGGCAACTTCTGGAAAGAAGGGCTATCAGAGACTGACACACAGACTCCCAGCGGGCTGAGAGCGGGGAGCCACAGGACTAGACGTGGGACTGCCAGGCAGTCCCGAAACGGACAGAGGGACGCGGCCGCCGGCCGAAGGCCTGACTCACAGGTGCGCGATGCCCGCCTTGCGCACGGCGGTGGAGATGGCTTTGACCGCCGTGCAGAGCGAGTTGAGCAGCTGGGTCATCTCGCCCGTGCCGCGGGCCTTCCGGCCCTCCTCCATGACAAAGCGGGTCAGGGTCACGATGTCCGTGTCGAAGGCCGCCTGGTCGGCCATGCTGGGGCCGGGCTGCGGCGCGCTGGGCGGCAGGTGCGGGAGGCGGGCGGCGGCGGGACACGGACTGGCAGCCGCTGGTCCTGTACGCTCGCGGCTGCAGCGCTGGGCCGGGATGGCCCGGGGAAGCCTATAGGCGCGGGTCTGCCGGCCCCGCCCCGCCCAGAGCTCCCGCGCCGCCCCGAGCCAGGTGGCAGGGTCCCTCCCAGCCCCTCCCAGCCCTGGCGCTACCGCCCCAGTGCCTCCCCACCTCCGCTTCCTCCTGCGTTGGTCCCCCGCGCTGTGCAGCGCTGCTCCGGGCCTCCTGCATTTCTCCTTCAGTCCCCACAACCAGTGTGGGTGAAATTGTAGTATTTCAAGAATATCTCGCCTGGCTTTAGTGCATCTACATATCAACGGGCGTTCCTAGAGGGTGGAGAGAAGTAGTTCATCTCCATTATTAATGGATAATTACCTGGGCGATGGAAGGCTTATCTGAACCTGAGAGGTTAGGGGGAAGTCTTGCTTGCTTCTGCCAGAGCAGGAAAGAGAAATGCCCTGGACCGCAGTTTGTAAGCAATAAACGGGTTTTAAACTTTATTTCTCCTTTTGACTGATTTCGGTTTGGGAGGTCACGGTTTCCCCCGACACAGTAAAGAGAAGTGACGGGCTCAGCCCAGGCGGCTGTACCTGGTCTCCGCGCACGTGGTTCCAGCGCTTCGGTTCCCTCCCCCGCGTTCCCACCTAGCCCCTGCTGCCTGCCCTGGGTCCACCCCTCCTTGGCCTGTCACCTCGCTCTTCTGCCTGCTCCCGCACCTGTGCGAGAGCCCATGTCTGGATGTTTTATTCAGGCCTCCTCCTGTCAAGATTGCAGAGCTACTGGGGACCTTCGTCTCCAGTACGTGCTTTTTGCAGAGAAAACAGAAAAAAGCGTCTCCCGGTACCATACTGAGGCCAGAGACTCCACAGTCCACACCCTGGCAGCTTTGTACCACAGGGCTGCTGTGTTAAGGCAGTTCGTTCATGGAACTACACCAATTGGGCACCTACTGTGTGCCACTTGCCCTGGAGTAGAGCCTGAGCAAAGCAGGTGGAATTCCCTTCTTCTTTGACCTTACATTTTAACAGACTATAAAAAATAAATAAATAATATATTAGTACATTAAATTGAAATAGGAAATGGAGATGGGGTGGGAGAGTAGGGTTAAATAGATTATGAAGAAAATGTTCACTGAGAAAGCGATGTGAGCAAAGACCTGATGGATTTGAGGCAGGTGCAGGTGGACATGGGGAGAAGCTTGCTTTCCAGAGAGGAGCAAGTGCAAAGGCCCTGAGGTGCAGAGTGGTGACATGTTGGAAGAATGGCTAGGGCCAGTGGGGCTGGACTAGAGCTAGCCAGGGGCAAGGGGGCAATAAGACTAAGAGGGGAGGGGAGGGGAGGACAGGTGTGCCGCCTGGGGTTCAAGTAAGGTTTGGCTTTGGCTTTGAGGAAACCACTGGACAGTTTTCAAGAGAGGAGAGGCATGATCTACCCTTTGTTTCACATTCCAGCTGCTGTGTTAATATTAGAAGAGAGAAGACAGAGGCTGGTGAGGTTACCAAGAGACAGTGATGCAGGGCGGTAACAGTGGGGGTGGGGAGAATGGCTGGATTTGGGATTGAAGGTCCATCTGACAGGTTTGTTGATAGATGAGATGAGAGAAAGGGCAGGCAGGATGATTCTAAGGGTTAGAGCCTGAGCAACTGGAGGGATAGGGAGGCCCTTTGCAGAGTAGTTTGGGCATGGGGTTGGGGAAATAAAGTCATTACAGGATACAGTAAATCTGAAGTGCCTATTAGACATCCAAGGGAATGTCCACTCGGATTTATCAGTCTGGAGTTCAGGGAAGAGATCCACACGGAGATACAAACTGGATAGGTATTTGGAGCCGTGAGGCTGGAAGGCATCACCAAGGAAGGGGTCAGCTGAAAGCCAAGAGGTCTTGCGTCCCCAGCTTCTGCGGCTTCAGGGGCCCCGTGCAGGTACTGGCGACAGGCTCCGTAATCTCTGGGAATATAGACTCCAGACAGCCAGCTGTAACACCAACAGCCACTGAGTGCTTGCCAAGCGTCAGGCCCTTGCTGAGGCTTCAGATGCCCTCAGCCCAGCGCCCTTCTACTCATACAGATGAGGGAACTGAGGCTTCTCTAGGCCAAATAACTTGCCCTAGATTCAAAGCCTGGTCTATCTGATCCCAAACCCCACATTCCCACCGGCCTGCTGGGTCCCTGCTAGGTGACAATCACTGTGGCAAGGCTCTGAGCCTGCCAACTACAAGCTTCAAAAACCTGCTCTACACAAGTAGTGACTCTGTGGCATCTCACTACATGATGGACAGTGACTGCAATGGGGTGCGGGGGGACTTGATAATATGGGGAATGTAGTAACCACAATGTTGTTCATGTGAAACCTTCATGAGATTGTATATCAATGATACCTTAATAAAAAAAATTCTGCTCTACAAATTGTCTTCCTGTGAGTTCTAGAGTTACTTCTTGGGCCTGTGCTCATTTATTATTTTACTCAGCCAACAGTTATTGAGCACCCGCTGTGTGCCCAAACCGTACCACATGCTGGGTTACAGTGGTGAGGAGGACAGACACATCTCTGTCCACGTGAGGCTTATATGCTTTGTGGGAGAGATAGGAGGCAGAATCACACAATACACAAAGATACAAAACGATTTCAGGGAGCAAAGAGTGCTGTGAAGACCATATCACAGGGCATAGAGGTAAGAATTAATCAGGAAATTTTCTTAGGAAATGACCTTTGATTCCAGACTGAACAAAAAAAAGACTGGAGCAAATGAAGAGCTCATAGAAGAACATAAAGAAAAACAAGCAAAGAGCTACAGGTGCATAGGCCCTGAGGCACAGATGGGCTGGTGCATTCAGGGAAGAGCAGGAGGGCCAGAGCAGGTAGGAGGGCAGTGGAGGGGAAGGGCTATAGGAAACTGTGTTGGGAAGGGAAGCAAGGACCAGATTATGGCAGACCCCTCAGGTGTTAATGAGACCCTGAGGTTCTATTTAGAGTGTGGTGAGAAGCACTGGACGGTGTGAAGCTGGACAGAGATATGACCTAATCTAAATGCGTGAGAATGTGCTGTAGGGGGTCATGCTGAGAGCGGAAGGCCCAGCAGAATGAATCTGATCCAGCCTCTACTTGGCAGCTTGTCATACGTGTGAAGACTGCTGTCATATTCCTCGTAAGTCTTACTTCTCCACTAAATATTTTCAGTTCCCTCAATTGTTCCTCTTTGGCAAGGTTTTGAGGTTCCTCCCATCCTGCTTTGGACCCACTCACTTCTTGAAGCTCCTTCCCACACAATGCTCTGTTTCTATGACTTGTCATGTTCTCCATCTGCTCCACCTCACCCCAGTGGGCCATTCTCCTATATTAAAGAGTAGCTTCATTGTCTTGCCCCTGCTGATAGTATTAGGAACAGGCTGGCTGTTGCAGCAGTGGGCTGGGGCAGACGAAGAAGCTGAGCTATGGTGCAGCTGCAACAAAGAGCTCAGCCAGCCCTGCAGAGAGCTCTGAGGCTGGGATGGCCCTTTACACTTGTCCTGAGTTGGCAGCCAAGAATTCCATCCACATGTCAGTCTGTTATTAGTTACGCTTTGTCTGGAAAGGGGCATGACATGGAGAGGGGGCTCTCTTCTGCCAAGGCAATAGTCACAAGAACTGGGGAACAACTTCTTTGTCATTCATGAAGAGCTGGTGGCATATCCCAGCATCCACTATAATGAGCAACAAAGATGAGCTGGGCAGGCAGCAGGGGTCTGTGGGTCACCACTCTCATCTGTCCCCAGGAAGGGGCACATGTGACGACAGGCATTTTCAGACCTGTGTTCTACCAGCTCAGCTTCTCCCCCTGGTTCCAGCAAAACTCCAGAGTTGAACTCATATGGCCCAAATAAGTGGCTATTTCTCAGCCAACAATTGTTATATGAATAACCATGGCTGTGCTCAAGGGTATAAAGATGCTAATAATTACAAACATCAGTACTACACCTCTTACATAGATTTAATGAAATCATGAGTAACGTCACAGTGCCTAGAAATTAGTTGCTCAATCTGCAATTGCAGCTGCTGTTGTCATTAGGGTTTCAACAGGTATCGAGGGTTTGTCACCAGGGTAGAACATTCTGGAGCCATGGAGGGATATGAAATAGCATGAGAAATCTGAAGGTGAGTTTGAGGGGCCGTGAGTTAGCCAGGCTGACAACAAAGTTTCACTGAGAGAATAACCGACAGGCCTGGGAAGTAGGTTGGCTGACCCTGTGGAGGGTTTAAGCCCAGAAGTAAGGAGTTGGTAATTGTCCTGTAGCCACTGCCACTCCAGGGGAGGATAGGTTTGTTACCTGTCCGCAACAAATACAGCAACTCAGAGCAAAATGTTAGAGCAATTTGAACAAATGTATCTCTATCAAATCTAATAATAAAAACTGAGGACCTGTATCATGTCTTTTTTATTTCATTTTTCTAGAAATTCTTTATCATAGTTTACAAAAACAATCACCCGTAATGGATCAAAAATATTTTTTAAAACTGATTCTTCATCACAGAGTTTGAGAATGCCAGAAGTTGAGGATGCCAGAAGGCCATCAAAGTTGTACGGTGGATGACATGTTACCGGGTTCTACTTTTTCTGGAGGTAACACGTAGGGCGGTTGACGTGGAGAGAAAAAGGAGGCAGAGATGTTAGGTAGGAGGCTCCTGTGACCATCTGGGTGGAAGTCAACACAGACCAGCAGGGGCAGAGATCTCAGGAAGGAAGGAGTCCAGGGCGGGTGGCTGCTTTTCCACCAGCGCACATGAGGGTGTCAATGTGTAAAGAGAATGGTAATGAGTTAAGTACCCAGGTAGGGCTCTACTCAGGAGCCCCGTGTTTCAGATGCTGCGTGGACTGAATCTGGGGCTCGGAGCACAGTATTTGGGCAGGACGACAGTGCTGCCTGTCTGATCCTGCAGATCCGTAATCTCAGCATTACCCTGGCTCTGCTGTGTTCCTGGGCCCCCACATCCAACCAGGCTAGGTCCATTCTGCTGCTGGGACAGCTCTCCTGTCTCCCTGCTTCTTGCCAGTCCCCATTCCCTTGTCTTCCATCTCTGCCTCCATGTTTTTCTCTCTCCTGAAGGCACTCAGGTCACTTCCCCACTCCAGAACCTCTCATGGCTCCCCACTGTCTGGGAAAAACAAACCCGGCTGTCTAACAGAACACTGAAGACCCGGAACCCCCACTGCCGCCGGAGCCCCCATGCCCTCCTAAACTCCCCTTTCTCCTCTCCTGCGCTCCAGCAGCCCCCTCCCTGCTCTGGAACAGCCCCTGGCACTTTTGTTCACCTGGCCTCTCACAGCTCACTCTGTGATGATGAATTTGTACCTCCAGAGTGGGA